GAAAGAAAGAAGTAAAATTGTCTATTTGCAGATGATATGATGTTATACATAGAAAATCCTCAAGACTCCAGCCAAAAAACAACAAACCTGTTAGAACTGATAAATTCAGTAAAGTTGCAGGATACACAAAACAACATACAAAAATCAGTTGCATTTTTACACACTAACAATGAACTATCCAAAAACAGAAACTAAGAAAATAACATTTACAATAGCATCAAAAACAACAAAATACTTAGGGATAAATTTAAACAAGGATGTGAAAGACTTGTACACTGAAAACTATAAAACATTGGAAGAAATTGAAGACAATACAAATAACTGGAAAGATATCCGTTGTTCATGGATTGGAAGAAATAATATTGTTAAAATGTCCATACTACCCAAAGCAATCTATAGATTCAATGCAATCCCTATAAAATTCCAATGGCATTTTCCACAGATATAGAAAAAAATCCTAAAATTTGTATAGAACCATAACAGACCCTAAATAGCTACAGCAATATTGAGCAAGAAAAGTGAAGCTGTAGGCATTACACTTCCTGATTTCAAACTATATTGCAAAGTTATAGTTATCAAAACAGTAAGGGATTGTCATTAAAACAGACACATAGATCAACGGAACAGAACAGAGAGCCTAGAAATAAATCCACACATATATAGTCAACTAATTTTCAACAAAGATGTCAAGAATACACAGTGGGAGAAAGTCTCTTCAATAAATGGTTTTGAGGAAGCTGTGTATCCACGTGCAAAAAAATGAAACTAGACCCTTATCTTACACCATACACAAAAATCAACTCAAAATGGATAAAAGACTTAAACATAAGACCTGAAATTATAAAACTTTTATAAGAAAACGGAATAAGCTCCTTGACATTGGTCTTGGTAATGATTTTTTTTTAATCTGACATCAAAACCATGGGCAACAAAAGCAAAAATAAACAAGTGGGACTACATCAAACTAAAAAGTTTCTACACAGCAAAGGAAATAATAAAAAAATGAAAAGTAACCTACAGAATGGGAGAAAATATTTGCAAATCATATATCTGATAAGGGGTTAATATCCAAAATATATAAGGAGGCTTTACAACTCAACAGCAAAAAAACCCCAAATAATCTGATTAAACAATGGGCAGAAGATTTGAATAGATATTTTTCCAGATAAGACACACAAAAGGCCAACAGGTAAATGAAAAGATGCTCAACATCACTAATCACTGGGGAAATGAAAATCAAAACCACAATGAGCTATCATCTCATATGAATGCCTGTTAAGAAAAAGACAAGAGATAACAAATGTTGGTGAGGAGAAAAGGGAACCTTTGTACACTGTTGGTGGGAATGTAAATTGGTGCAAGCCTTATGGCAGACAGTATGAACTTTCCTCAAAAAATTACAACTAGAACTACCATATGATCCAGCAATCCCACTCCTGGGTATACAGCCAAAGGAAATGGAATCACTAGCTAAAAGAGCTGCCTGCCACGGAGAGGGCCCCCATGTGCACTGCCGCAGTATTCACAACAGCCAAGACATGTGACTATGATAAAGGAAAATACAATATTTATACTGTATTGTGTATATATCACACACACAATGGAATATCATTCAGCCATAAAAAGGAAGGAAATCCTGCCATGCGTGACAACGTGGCTGAACCTGCAGGACATTCTGCTGAGTGAAATAAGCCAGGCAGAGAAAGACACACACTGTATGGTATAACTTATATGTGGAATCTAAAAACAAGGAAGAAGAAAAAAAGTTGAATTCATAGGACCAGAGAGTAGAAAACAGCTGCCAGGGGCTAAGGGTTGGTTGAAATGGGGAGATGTTGGTCAAAGGGTATAAACTTTCAGTTTTAAGACAAGTAAGTTCTGAGGGTCTAATATACAGCATGGTCACTAGAGCTAATAATACTGTATTATATACTTAAAGTTGCTAAAAGAATAGATCTTGAGCATTCTCATACACAAAAAAAGTTAACTATGTAAGGTGATGAATGTATTAATTGATTGTGGTGATTATTTCACATTGTTTACATATATCAAAATCATCACACTGTAGAGTTCAAATATATTACAATTTTATTTGTGAATTATCCCTCAATAAAGCTGGTGAGTAGGGGGAATAATTTNGAGGTGATGAATGTATTAATTAACTTGATTGTGGTGATTATTTCACATTGTTTACATATATCAAAATCATCACACTGTAGAGTTCAAATATATTACAATTTTATTTGTGANAAGGTGATGAATGTATTAATTGATTGTGGTGATTATTTCACATTGTTTACATATATCAAAATCATCACACTGTAGAGTTCAAATATATTACAATTTTATTTGTGAATTATCCCTCAATAAAGCTGGTGAGTAGGGGGAATAATTTTTAAAAAAGAATTGAAAAAAAAAGACTGAGCTGCCTCTGTCTTGCTGTGTGCTCTTGGGAGGACTTCCTAACCTCTCTGTGCCTCACTGACTTCATTGATATAATGGGAATCTCCCCTCCCCTTTCCTGGGGCTCATAAAACAGGAAGAAGACCACCCCTGGGTTCCAGGGCTGTAGACAGGCCCACCCATAGGAGACTCAGGCAGAACAGGTTGCTCCCTGCTCCCACCTGGGCCAGAATACCAGCTGCATCCATGAAGAGTTTGGCAGGAGTCGGACACTGGGTCATTTGAGGGATCTGTACAGCCTGGTGTCTGGTAACCTGGTGTCTGGGATAGTGACTGCTACCTTGGGCTCAACTTCTGACAAGATAGACAATTTGGCTGCAGCCCTGATGCACCCCAGGAGTGCCAGGAACAGAACAGTCTGGGTGGTGAGGACGGAGGCAGGGGAGTGGACA